GGGTTCCATATTCAGTTCTGTGGCGCAGTTTCAGGCAGGTGGCCGCCCTTTCTGCTTCAGTTACCTCATCAGCAAATTGAGAACGCGAAGACCTGCCCCACTACCGGAGAATGATTGTAGAGATCAGATGAAACTTTATTAGGTAAGATACTCTTATCATTGCATCTTAGAGACCTTCATCACTTAAATATTCGAGTAGAAAAAGTTTAAGGATTGAGGGTGTTTAGCTCAGTGATCGGGCTGATGGAGTGAGCACACACCCAGAGTGCCCCACCGTGTCTTGGAAGCTCAGTCCGTGGACAGGGTGGCTCTCAAAAAGCAGGGTGGGGAGGGGACATGGTCTGTCGAGGTTCCGCTGAGGCACCTAAACCTAGTTGCCATTGGCCGTTTCAAGTCGGTATGGGCCCATGCTTTTTCTCAGCCCTTCAGAGCTGCCCTGCCACTTTGGTGACATCATCAATCTGGCATTTCATGTTAACTGAATTAGGTGTATCTTATGCTCACCGAATTTGTCAATTGTTAGGAAATACAGATGAGTTGATGGGTCTGCGTGCCTGACCCTTCTGTTTTCTCAGCGGTGACTTCATCTCTCTGATTTCCTAGTGCCACCCTGGTCCCACCCTCATCCTCTCCGGAACATCATCTGGAACACACGGGCAGTCAGAAATTCACCGACTGTCTCATTTCACTGGCTGTCGGAAATGGTTTTCTTCACAATAGCAGTTTTCTCTTCCTTCTGTTGTAAATTGTGCTTGGATTGCTCACAGCTCCAATTCTTCTTCTTTATTCATTCATTTATTTAAATTAAAAAAAATGTTTTTTGGCCGCACTACGCGGCTTGTGGGATTTTAGTTCCCGGACCAGGGACTGAGTGAAAGATAAGGATGCTAATTCCAGTTCTGCTTCTTTACCCTCTGGAGGAGAAGCCGTCTGCCTTCTTCAGGCGGCTTGGGGCAGGGAAAACAGCACTTTCAGGCGTCTCCCAGTCTTCACTCCTTCCATCCCAGCCCGCAGGTTGTTGCCAGAATGATCTTTCTAAATGGAAGTGTTTTTTACTGGCTCCAAAGCGTGATGACTCCCCTCGGCCCATCCAGGGTCCATGAGCCATGCAGGCACACAAAATGGCTTTTATTTGTCCTGCGCCGCGATGGCCTCCACACGGTTTAAAACAATTGAAATTAGTAAGAACACGAACGCTTAGGGACTTCCCTGGCGGTCCAGTGGTTAGGACTCTGCGCTTCCACTGCAGGGGACACGGGTTCGATTCCTGGTCGGGGAACTAAGATTCCGCATGCCACACAGCCAAACAAACAAACATGGAAGCTTGGAAGATGTCTTATAAAAGCCAGGATTTGGGTTTCTCTTGGGAGATTGTTAGATGGGCACCAGGAACTGGGTCGGGCCGCCCCTTAGCCTCCTCAGGGTTCTCCAGCTGCCACCCAGGCCTCGTCACTCCCTCACACTATCTAGGTAGGGACTTGTGTTTGCTCCCCCTACTGCAAGATCCAGTTCAATCTGAGTTAGGATCTACTCCTTAACAGTAGAAGGATCCTTCCTGGTCAGGCCCCACCCTGCCTCTGCCCTCCCCTCCTGTCACATTCCCCCAGACATCCTCACAGTAGCTGCGCCACTAAATGGATAGTTGTTTGCCTGTGTGAATTTGCTTACTCATATATTTTATCTTATTTTATTTTATTTTACTTTTTACCAAAGAGACTCATTTCACAGACGCCTCTGGAGCATCCATTAGCGGCAAGGTATGTGTGCCTGGCCTGGCCACCTGTGTGGAGTGTTTCAGGGAGTTTCACTTTAGATTTTCATGGTGTATTGATCCAAAGCTTCTGTGAAGGCCAAGGAGCAGAGGAAGGAAGAGAATGGATGGGCCATTCCTGTGCTTACAGTCATTTCCAAAACAAAGACATTCCATTTGCAGACATTCTGCTCCTTGAAACTAAGGGCTTAGCAGCAAAATGATGGTTTTCCTTGGTTGTCAAACATTGCCCAGTCTTTACCAGAGTTACAGGAAAATTGACATATCAGCCTCATTATTTGTTCTAGACAATAAAAATAATTCAGGCTATAGAGTAATTACTTACTTTATTGCTGTTCATGTTAAGTCCAGGAGTTTACAGAGATTTTCAGAAATCTGGGCATTTACCTCTCTAATTTCAAGAAATTGCTCTGTAGTCTGGGCTTTGTCTTGCTGGGGCCATCACTCATCTGGTTTCTGTGCTATGCTGGTTCAAAATCTTGATTTCCCCAGAAGAGTCAGGCTTTAGGAATTTATGTCACCCTAGCCAAACTTAGAAGGTCTGTTGTAAACTGGAATATTCATTTTCAGCACATTTACACAACACCCTACCGAGTGTGTGACCCTGTCCTGATTTCTGGGGAAACAAAAATAAATCATAAATATGACGTGGTCCTTGCCGTTTAAAAGCTTATGGTCCAGAAGTGGGAGAGACATGTAAACAAATATGTTATATGTAGTGCGCTAAGTGTAGGGTGACCTTATGTCCTGGGACGTCCTGGTTTATGCCTGTTGTCCTGGTGTAGCTATTAATGGTACCCTATTTCAAAACTACCTAAGGGCCACAGTCAAAGTCTCTGAATGTTTGGGGTATAGAGATGGTAGAAAGCAGGGAGAAATCAGTCTGTTTTCCCAGGGTAGACACCTGCGCTGGGTGAGGAAGGAAGTTTGGGCAGTCAAGGCCTGGGGCCTTGACATGGGGGTGGAGGCCAGGGCGGGGTTGGGGGGTGGGGAAGAGGGTGCAGAACTCTGCAGGCAGAAGGGAGATTGTTCCTGATGCAGCAGTTAGTTGGCTCAAGCTGGTCATTGTTTCCCAAATTTATCCTGTGGAAGAAATTCCCCAGGACACTTGGTCAAAATACAGATTTCCAGAATCTGCTGGCAATTTGGATTTGGACTTTTAAAGAGGGGCCTCAGATGATTCTTGGACATATTAAAGGTTCAGAACCAATTCTGTAGAGATTTTGGCTACGACTACAAAGGGTCGGAGGAGAGGGGAGCAGGAATAGCAAGACTAGAGCCCAAGTCACAGATCAGCCAGGCAAGGGTGACCCCAGCCGAGACGACCCTCTGAGGTAGAACCAACTGGACACATTTACAGTAGATCTATGAAAACTAGGGAGTGTGGGAATTATGTCAGTCACAGTGGGGATGCAGAGGAGGGAAAAGTTTCGAGAACCGCTCAGGAGGAAGAACGAACAGGACCTACTATATGCCAGCTACAGATTTACATGGGCAACAAAACGTGTCAGATCCAGGAACTTGGGGGGACCTTATAATCTGAAGGTTTGTGTGGTGAGCCATAAACCGAAAAGTATGACAAGTTGGATAGTATTGTGGCATATTTCATGCAGACCTGAAAAAAAAACGACTCCTGCTTATTTCTCATCTTTGTAGTCTCCAGTACGGTCAAGACAGTTGTATTTATCTCTGGGAAGGAGCTGGATGAATTCTAAAGCATCCAGACACCCCAGCCCTCTAGTCTAGACTGCAGGCGAACCCCCATCCATCTGTTATGGTGAAACTACCTGCCACGCCTGATCTTGCGTTATTTTTGCTTTGTTTTTGTTATCAAATGTGTAAGACAGTCATGATTCATCAACAGTTTGCTGTGCCAACCCCTTTCAGTGGAGACGTCCGTGTGGCAGTTTCAGCCTGACTTTGTTCTGAATTCTGGAGCTGCTGTCTCTGTGGGAACCTGCAACTCTGGAAATTACAGTAGTACAAGAAACGCCTTATCCAGGCAAGGAGATCATGAAGCCCGGTTGTTTGAGGCAGATTCGCTTGGTGCCTTGGTGATTCTGAGAGGCGCAATCCCTAAGTAGAATCCCTTGATGGAAAATCCCTTCAAACACAGAGGGTTTTTATTTTGAAGGTTGAAATCATTAGGCCTGTTGGCAGACTTCGGAAGCAGCAAACGGAGTCAGAGACCAAACACTTAGAAGTTAAGCCTCAAAAAGGAGAATGGGAAACGGATCAAGCTCTAATTTCACAGGGTAATTTAGCACCCTTTACCCAAGACCTGGCCACGGCACTTCCACCAGTGAGGACTGAGGAGCCACAAAGCATCTAAAATCCCAGCCCTTGGCTACTCTTGCAGCGTTGCCGAAGGATCTGAAGGCTGAAGGTGAACAGGCTGAAATCTTCCACGCCGTCCTATTAGGGAGGGGAAAACACAGTCAACAGCGGCCTCAGAGTTTTTTATAATAAGGGGCTGAACTTCTCTGCGATCCAGTATCACTAACGCCATTAAGTCGCAGTAGCAAGATGAGAAAATAAAAATAAAAAGGGAAGGAGGCACAGTCCAGCGTGCACGTACACGGAAAACGGATCTTCCCGGCTCCCGACGCCGGGGGAGCTGTTGGGGGCGCCCGGGTCCTCGGCCAGCGGCCAGGGTCTTAGCAGAGAAGTCCCTTCCCGCAGGGAGGGCGCGACCATTGTGGCGCGAAGGCGGGGGGATCCGGCGGGCGCGCGCGCTTCAAAGTGCCGCCGCCGCGGGCGCCCCCTCCCGCGGGCGCGAGTAGTACGGTCCGAGGGGGCGGCTCCTGGGGCGCGGCTCCGCCGCAGCTGATGCGCGCCCAGCCGGCCGGGAGGCGGGAGGCGGGAGCCGGGAGCCGGGCCGCAGGGACCGGGAGCAGCTGAGCCGCCGTGCAGCCAAGGTCGAGCCGCCGGGCGTCGCGTACCTGGGCCCCGAGGAGGCCCCAGGAGAGGCATCTCCCCCGCGGGAGTCGCCGGGCGCGGGGGCGCCGTGGCCGCACGTTCAGGAAGGAGGACGCGGAGGAAACGGCGCTGCCAGCCGGAGGAGAGGAAGCGCTCCACCCGGGCCCCCGACGGCGCTCGTTTAACCACATCCGCGCCTCCGCTGGAAACGCGTCCGGGCGCCTGTCACCGGTTCCCTCCATTTTGAAAGGGAAAAAGGGCTCTCCCCTTTCCCATCCTCCTAGGAGCCGGAGCCGGAGGAGCCGCGCTCATGGCGTTCAGCCCCTGGCAGATCCTGTCCCCAGTGCAGTGGGCGAAATGGACGTGGTCCGCGGTGCGCGGCGGGGTCGCCGGAGAGGACGAGGCCGGAGGGCCCGAGGGCGACCCCGAGGAGGAGGACTCGCAAGCCGAGACCAAATCCTTGAGTTTCAGGCAAGTACACGCGTTCCTGGCAAAATGCAAACGCGCTGCTATCCATCCATCCATTTGCGGCTCAGTCTGTGTGCGTGTGTGTGGTCGCCACCCGCGTAACAGTGTTCATGGCAATGCTGCGTCCCTGCCTGTAACCAGGTCCCCGCTGTGCCTTCGAAGGTTCAGGATGTTCTGCCCTCCCGGGTATTTTCTTCCCCCCGTTTCAGTATGAGCTTTCTGAACCTAACCCAGAATCTGCAGTCTCTCTGCATCCCCGTCTGCCTCGATCACTTTCTCTAAGCTTCGAGCCCCCATCCCCCCGCCCCTACACACACACACACACACACACACACACACACACACACACACAGTCGTGGATCACACCCGGTGGAACTTGGGGCCTTCCCTGTGGGGAAGAAGTCACTCCCAGGCCCTCCTGGGGGTCCCCCTGTGTCCCGAAAATGCAGCCTTAGTAAAGAAGGTCGCGTGATGACAGGCTCCTGGCAGCTGGTGAGAAATGGTGGTGTCTGCTGAGCTGTCACCCGTGTGATTGCGGAAGGCAGGTGACAACATCCTCGGCCTCTGGCCGGGTGAGTTCCAGACAGGTAGAGGCCTACCAAAGAAAAAGGCATCATGGCGAATATTGGCTTAATATTTTTTAGAACGAGAGGGCAATTTAATTTTTAAACCTCCAGGAAAGGGCTCTTGTGAGAAAAGGAGTCTGTTGAAAGGGCTTTTTTGGGGTATCAGAGGGAAGGATGACCTCAAAAAAAAATGGTGCTGGAAAAAGGCTCCTGAGGATGGAGGAGATTTCAGGGAGACAGGAGGCCAGACAGAAGCCCGAGGGGGCGCGGCAGCAGCTCCCACAGGCCAGCCCATGCTGAGGACGTGCAGGTTGTAAACTTAGGCAAAAATATTGGACTTTGCGGATATGTAGACTATAAAGGGTGTCGGAAATACCGTTGAAAGTGGTAATTCCTCATTTTTCCCCCTTGGCAGCTCGGATTCTGAAGGTAATTTTGAGACCCCTGAAGCCGAAACGCCCATCAGATCACCTTGCAAGGAATCCTGTGATTCACACCTAGGACTGGCAGGCCCTGGGGCCAAAACCCAAGGTAAAGAAAGACTTTCCTTTTTGGCCTTATTTTGTTTAAAGTTTTGAAAATGTAAATGAGGGAAGGAAAAGTGTTAATTTAGGGCCATTTGAAAAGGTTGGGATTATCTCCTTACTAAGCAGGAGCTGTTTGAAAGCTCCTGGCTCATTTGAAATGGGTTTTCTTGTTCATTTGTTTATTTTTTTTTTATGAATGTGGTGGTCAGAGGCTTTCTTCCCTAAGTAGGCTGTACATTTGCAGTATGAGATGATCATTA